CGCCGGCGGGGCTGCTGAAACGGGTGCGCGGGCGGCGGGGCTCGGAGTGCGAGGCGCGGGGGGACGGGATGCGGGATGCGGCCTGGCTGGCAGGTGCTCGTGTCGTCGCGCGGGCGGGCCCCGGCGGCGCCGGGGCGCAGGTGTCGCAGCGCGCGTGCGCTGCAGCTGTCCGTTGTCCACGTCTACTGGTGCCCCGCGCCACCCCCTCGGCCGGCCTGACCCGTTGCTATCTCCCTTCCTCGCCCGCCCACCTGCGCCCACCTGCCGCCCCCCTCCCCTCCTTGCTCCCTGCGCTGCCCACCACCATCCCCCCTCCCCCACCCCCTCATCCCCTCAGGTCATGGACTCAGCATCGGAGCTGGAGCTGCAGCAGGCGGCGGCGCTCGCGCCGCTGCTGACCGACGCCGGCATACCCTTACGCGGGGCCATCATCCATCATGTACCCCGGGATCTTCGGGATCCGGCTGCTGACATCGGCAGGCTTTGGAGCGACGGCCCAGACACAGGCAGTCAGGACGGGGACGACGCGGGCGACGGTGAGTGGCTCACAGACCTGGGCGCCAGCGCCCCCGCAGCGCTGTGGCTAGCAGCGGACGTGCTCTGGAGCCGCGCGGCGGCTGCCGGTGGCGGCGGGCGGGCGGAGGAGCAGGCGGAGGGGTCGGATGAGGGGGGCGCGGAGCGGGTGGCGCGGCTGCTGAGTCTCATGGCGGAGACCGCGACGGGTGACGTCGGCGGCGGGGACGGGGCGCAGCTGCTCGCGGCGCGCGCATCGCCGCGGCAGGCGGCGCGGCTGCTGGTGCTCGCCGCGCGCAGCCAGGGGGCGGCACCCGCCGCCGAGGCCGCAGGTAGCTTGTTGGCAGCCGTCACGGCGCGCGCTCAGGCCGCCGAGGGCGCGAACCTTGGCCCTGTGAGCGCGGGCCAGCTGCTGGCGGCGCTGACGGCGCTGCAACTGCCGCCGAGCGCGGCGTGGCTGTCGGAGTCTGCGCGTGAGGACGGCGGCGCAGCCCTGCTCTGCGTGGGCAGCCGCACAGGCGCCGCCCGGCCGAGTGTGGGCGATGTGGCTTCCGCGTTCCTCGCGGTTGCCGCGGCTGGTGTGGCGGTCTCGCCGGCGGCTGCGGCGGCGGCGGCGGCGCGGCTCGCGGAGGGGCTGTCCAGCGGCGCTATGGGGGGCGCGGGCGAGCCGTCAGCGCGCCTGCTGGAGGCCGCCTCGATGCTGCAGATAGACGGTGCCGCTGCTGCTGCAGGGCAGCAGCAGCAGCAGCAGCAGCAGCAGCAGCAGCAGCAGCAGCAGCAGCAGTCACGCGGCGGTCGAAAGCAGCAGGGGCAGCGGCAGCAACAGAAGCAGAAGCAGCAGGCAGACGCTGGCAGCGCCGAAGTGCGCCCGGCCGACAAGGCATCCCTGCTTGCGCCTCTCCTAGACGCCGCGGCTGAGCGGCTGGCGGCGACGGGAGCTTCCGGGCAGCTGCCCGCCGCGGCCGCCGCCGACGCGCTCGGCGGGCTCGCCGGGTGCGGGTGGCGGCCGCAGGCCGACGCCGCCTCGGCGCAGGGCGGGGCGCTGCGCGGCCTCGTGGCGTGCCTGGATCCCTCTCAGGGTGGCAGCGACGACGAGGGTCCGCTCGTGCCGGGCTTGGACGCGCGCCGCGCGCTGGGCGCGCTCTCGGCAGTCGAGGCGCTCGGGCGGGAGGCGTGCACGCCAGGCGCCCTCCTCGCGATGGCGGCGCCCCTCTTGGCCGAGCTGCAGGGCGGGGCCCCGGCAGCAGGCGCGGCCCTGGGCCTGGATGGTCCAGCTCTCACGGCAGCCTCATTCGCCGCCGCCAACCTGGCGGCGTCAGTGCAGAAGCGTGCAGCCGGTGGCAGCGGGGACGCTGGAAGCGCAGAGGCCGCGGCGCGGGGGGCGTGGGCGCTGGCTGAGCGGGCGGCTCGGGCAGCGCTGGCGCCGGGGGTTGTGGAGGGCCTAGATGCGGTGCAGCTGCAGCAGCTGGCTTGGTGCCTCGCGGGCGCGCGGGCCCAGACACGCCCGCACGCCGCCGGCGCGGCTGCGGCGCCCTCCACGCTGGCGAAGGAGGGGGAGTGCGCGCTGCAGGGGGCAGGGGCGGTGTCAGGAGACAGCGACAAGGACAGGGGCGACGCGGACCCGGCCTTCGAGCCGCTCTGCGCGGCGGTCGCGTCAGGGTTGGCCCGGGATCCCGCGTCGGCCGGCGCCACAGGCGCAGCCAGCACACTCCTGGGCCTCTCGCGCCTTGCCGGCCGCGGCGGCGCCCTGCCGCAACCGCTGCTGGCCGCGGCGGCGGGGG